TAAAACTGTTAATTCTCCCCTCCTGTGCCCCCTCAGTATTTTATTTAATGTCGGAAATCTTTTCCATTTTACACCTTCCACCTAAAAATTATTTTAAATTAAATTTATTATATCTTAAGGATAAAAAAGTACTTTTTTAATACCTTGTCAATATTTTGTAAATCAGACAATACATCATCCCTTAGACTAGAAAATGTTGTTATAGATTTATGCCAAAGGGGCTGAGCATTTGCTACAATAACTTTTAGGTCGAACTCTCCTGCTAGATGGGGCATAGGCTGATTTTCAGCAGGTCTATAAGTATATAATTTATACTAAATAAAAAAAAAAACGTTAAATATACTTTACTAACCGAATAAAATAACACCGTTTTTCTCCCAATTTTTTTGCAAAATTACGAGCAGATTCCCATGACAATAGATCATCACCAAACCACAATATTAATTTTTTAAACCTCTCCAGGCTAGGCAAAATGTGTAAAGGCAAATTTACATATCCATTGGGAAGACAAACAGCATAACCAGGTAATTTACTGTTTAAAAGTGCAAAAAAATCTGGCAAACTAGGTACAAGTATTGCTTGATCTTTTTGTCTAAAAAGTTTTGAAACTAAAATGCCTTCACATAACTTTGAAGGCTCTATATCCACCTTATTTTCAACACTAAGCACTCTATATCCTACGGTTCTAGATTCAACATTTTCCAAAGGGAAATAAAGTTTACTTTGATTACTATCTATCCTTACTGCTAAATTAGACAATGCAGACATTGGCACATTCTAAAAACCACTCATTTGGAAACACAAAACTGGTACAAGTTTATACGTACTTACTGGCAAATTAAACCTTTTAAAAATTGCTATCACATTTTCTTCTGATAAAGAACTTAGCTTCTTGGTACTACTTTCAATATTACTTAAATAACTTTTGCTTGTTTCCAGTTTTCCAGTATCAACAAATGGTTCAATAGAGCCTGCTAACTTCTTTCTCCGTTTGTTTATAAAATACTGCTCAAATGTCTTCCACTGCCCCAAATTACCACAAGTACATGAAAAATTACCTTAAAAATAAAGCATATATCATTAATTAAAGTTGCTCGATATTTATTCATTTATTCTAGATTTACCTGTCATAGTGTTAATATATAATTTAGGAGCTGCCTTTGATGACTTGCAGCAAACAGAACATGGGACTATAAAACAAGTATTTCCTTCTTCAAAAGTAATATTAGCACTACTAAGAGCCTTTTTAATAATAGAAGGGGACACTTCTGGGATATCGTCATTCACTAACACATTATAAGGACGTGCTGTATCATTTTTAATTGAAGTGTAGCTTTTTTGTAGTGATGTATAAAATAAATTAGTAGATAAAATGCGTCGAATAAACATATCTTAGTAAGCATAGTTGCAATAATAATCCTTTATTAACTTTCTTTTTGTTGTAAAGAGTAAAAACATACTTCACAAAGACCTCCACAACGCTCACTACATTAAAAAGTTAGGTTAAGTATTTTTAAATATCCAAAAATAAACAGAACTCATGCCCAGCAAACAAATACAAGAAACTGAAACTGCAATGGCGAGAAAGTGTGACGTCAATCATGGGCAAAAACCAATGGCGTAACACTTAATTTTTCTTGAAATTGTCTAAAATTACAATATTTCGTTTTGTATCTCTCAACAAATAGCTTTTAGATGTAACTATAAGTAATAAAAATAACATAAAAGAAAAATATTCAAAATCTTTAAAAATTCTTTGCATCAATAACTTCAATTGTAAAGGGGAATTGATGAACAATAAAGTTAAAATTGCTTATAGTTAGTAAAATTACGTATAATTACTAAATAAATGTTTTTCGTAACGTGAATATCACTTTAATAATATTAAAATAACCTCAACATAAAAACTAACCTACGCCTATGTGAGATGTGTAACAGAATGATTAACAAAAAATGGCTTCATAATTATATATCATAGGCATGTACTAATAAATCCCATAGACACAATATTTAAAAATAAAAGCGCGAATTACTTTTAAATGGATATTACCTATTTTAAATATTTAAAAAATGATTTTGTATAGATTATCAATTAGCATATAAATTATCATGTAAACATATCGAATAATGTCTAGTTTACTTAATTATATATATGCTATTGCTGTTTCCTTTTTTCTTCGATCGATTAGTCCTCTGCCTGGTTTCTTTCACACGAAATTAACTATAATAGCTGACTACTTTTTACAATAAAATTATACACAGAGACAATATCTAGTGGATACTATAATAAATAGCTACGTATTTGAGTAGTTTTTGTACACAGATACTTATATAAACTAAAGGTCACCAAAGGTTATCATAAACAGAAACAGAACAAATATATTATTTCTACTCTCTCTTCAAATTTCATGTTACAATGAATTGTCAAATTGTTCTAGTATTTTTTGTGACAATATGGAATTTCTCGAATTCTTGGCGAATTTTTCATCGAGGGAGATCTGTAGGGGGTAACATAGGACAACCACCAGAGACGAGTGCTCCTAATGTTCCCGAAAAATGGTTTATACAGAATTTAGACCATTTTAACCCCTCAGATACTAGAACATGGAGACAGGTACATATAGACATTTTACTTGAGCGTGAGAAAGCATGCAATTTAAATAATACATTTTAAAATAGAACAAACAGAAAAGCTAAATACATTTTAAAATACTTACCAGTATTTTTAATATTTTTAATTATTAATTGCCTTATAAGTCATTTATGACTTATTAAATTACGTTTATTTTTTAGAGATACTTTGTAAATGATAGTTTCTTTGAATCAAACGGTGATGGTCCAGTTTTTCTGATGATTGGTGGTGAGGGCGAAGCCTCCAAAGAATGGATGACCCAAGGTGCTTGGATTGCTTACGCTCAAGCATTTGGCGCACTTTGTTTCCAGTTGGAACATAGATATTACGGAAAAAGTCATCCAACTGAGTAAGATGTGCTTGAAATTTATTCTAATTTGTAATTTATAATATACACATATGCAAATAGATTATTCCAATCGTCATTATCAATAAATCATAGACATGTACATCAGTTAAATTTACACGACATCGTCAGATACTGTTAAAGAGATTCTAGAATAAATAACTTTTAAAACAATTTTTAACAGGGATTTGGGCACTTCAAACTTGCTGTATTTAACAAGTCAACAGGCATTAGCTGATTTAGCAAACTTTATCACTTCTATGAACGATCATTATAATCTTACCTCAAAAAATAAATGGATAGCTTTCGGTGGTTCGTATCCTGGATCCTTAGCAGCTTGGCTACGTTTAAAGTATCCTCACCTCGTTAAAGGGGCGATGTCAGCAAGCGGTCCCCTTTTAGCAAAAGTTGACTTTCAGGGTGAGTCCCTTATCGAAAATACTATTGTTGTTATGAAATTCGTTCTTGTCAGAAATTGCTACCGCCAAAATTACAAATTTCGGCTAGTTATAACACCGTAGTACCTTCACATCAAACCCATCATACTTACTAACGTGTTAAAGACCACATTTGGAGCGGTTTATAGTGTACGTTATTCTCAATGACGAAGTCTTTATTTGAAAACGCACCCAAAATCTCTTGACACCATTAAATTCTACATACTTTTTTTATGTAATAATCATCTATTATGGCTAATAAAGTATGTCTAATCTCGTAGTAATTTTACGAGCGCTTTTTCGTGTTATTTTAGAATTATTTCAAGCTGTTTTAACACCGTAGAGTCTTCATTTGAAAACGCACCCAAAATCTCTTGACATCATTAAATTCTACGTACCTTTTTATGTAATAATCATCTATTTTGGCTAATAGAGTATATCTAATCTCGTAGTAATTTTACGAGCGCTTTTTCGTGTTGTTTTAGAATTATTTTAAGCTGTTTTAACACCGTAGAATCTTCATTTGAAAACGCACCCAAAATCTCTTGACACCATTAAATTATACGTACCTTTTTATGTAATAATCATCTATTTTAGCTAAATGAGTATGTTTTATCTCGTAGTAATTTTACGAGCGCTTTTTCATGTTTGTTAGCATTATTTTAGGCTGTCTTAACACCGTAGATTCTTTATTTGAAAACGCACCCAAAATCTCTTGACACCATTAAATTCTACATACTTTTTTTATGTAATAATCATCTATTATGGCTAATAAAGTATGTCTAATCTCGTAGTAATTTTACGAGCGCTTTTTCGTGTTATTTTAGAATTATTTCAAGCTGTTTTAACACCGTAGAGTCTTCATTTGAAAACGCACCCAAAATCTCTTGACATCATTAAATTCTACGTACCTTTTTATGTAATAATCATCTATTTTGGCTAATAGAGTATATCTAATCTCGTAGTAATTTTACGAGCGCTTTTTCGTGTTGTTTTAGAATTATTTTAAGCTGTTTTAACACCGTAGAATCTTCATTTGAAAACGCACCCAAAATCTCTTGACACCATTAAATTATACGTACCTTTTTATGTAATAATCATCTATTTTAGCTAAATGAGTATGTTTTATCTCGTAGTAATTTTACGAGCGCTTTTTCATGTTTGTTAGCATTATTTTAGGCTGTCTTAACACCGTAGATTCTTTATTTGAAAACGCACCCAAAATCTCTTGACACCATTAAATTCTACGTACCTTTTTATGCAATAATAATCTATTTTGACTGATTGGATATGTTTTATCTCGTAATAATTTTACGAGCGCTTTTTTTGTGTTTAGATTTTTTGTATTATTTTAGGCTCTTTTAACACCGTAGAGTCTTTACTTAAAAACGCGCTCAAAATTTCTTGACACTATTAAATTCTACGTACGTTTTTACGTAATAATAATCTATTTTGGCTAATAGAGTATGTCTAATCTCGTAGTAATTTTACTAGCGCTTTTCCATATGATTTTTTTTACTATATTTTAGCCAGTTGTAACACCGTATAGCCTCCATTTTAATCCACACCCAAAATTTCTCTATAACAGAATTTTTTACGTATCTTGTAACACAACAATCACTTTTTTCGGTAGAGTTTCTATTTGAAAACGCACTGTTAACATATAAAAATCATTTTTGTTAATTTGCACTTCTTTTTACCTTGCAATTTTCAGAATATTTTCAAGTGGTTGACGATTCTCTGGCAACTTATAGTGATCAATGCGTGAGAGCAGTTAAAGAAGGAACTTACGAAGTAAACACATTATTAAGGCATAGAATTGGGCAACTAAATGTTAACAATAAGTTCAAATTGTGCGATCCCGTTGAAAAATCTATTGATAACAAAAATGACATATCAAATTTGTTTGAAACATTAGCAGGTACGTACAAATAAATAAGAATTAACTTAGGTACTACTTCCTAATACTTTTCAAATGGTTCATAATTTATCAGTGGTCAAGGGTCAGTAATAATTTATCGAAAATGCAAGACGTCAATCGGTATTGAATCTCATCAGCACGCCGTAGAAAGTCGCGACAAACCACTGACTAAACAGATATTCCATATACCATTAATAATTTGTTTACCATTTACAGGTAATTTTGCTGGTGTTGTTCAATATAATAAAGACAACAGACTAAGCAAAAATAAAACCGGGCCTAATATAACTATTGATACCGTGTGTGCTATTATGGTGAACGATTCTGTAGGGCCACCTGTTGATAGATTGGCAGCGGTTAATGAATTAATCTTAAGAACATCTAACCAATCTTGTCTCGATTACAAATACGATAAAATGGTCCAGCAAATGAGAAATGTATCCTGGGATAGTGAAGTATCTGAAGGAGGTAAGAATTTTCTACATCAAAAACATTAATAATATCCTTACCTTTCTGCACAAATTTGATATTGTACACAGTGTTTGTTACCTGCAATATATATAACTAAAAATTTCCTCTCTCTCCTTTAAACTGTAGTCATTAAGGATCTGGCTTATCTTTTTCATAAAGAATAAAATTTTCTACAAAATTGTTATTCACATGTTCTTCGTTAAGTCTATGCACTGTACATCAAAGTCTATAAGAATTACAGTTGACACTGATATTTAGAAAAATCACCATCAAGGGAAAAAAATTAAAAATAAATAGTAAGTTAATAAAATTTGAATCGAAATCCAAAAATTTGGTGAAATATTTTGTGTCAAAAATAAATTAGAATAGAAAATAAAACAAAATTCTTATCTAAAATGAAAAACCTTCGATAAATTGGTACACATTAAGGGTTTGTCTGAAAAAATTGAATTACAGTTTTAGTCTATTTTTTTTTTTGACATCGACTCGAAATAAGAAAAACAATTGATTCTTAGATATGCTGGGGAGACATCCTAGATAAAAAGTCAAAAATATCAGATTTAAATTCATTATGGACAAATAAATTAATGGTAACCCCCATTTCCATTTTGGTTAAATCTATATAAGTAACAATTTTTCATTCATTTGCTTTTACAAATTACTTGTCATTACTTAAAAACAATCAAAAGTTAAAAAATTGTCAATAAATTTGCCTGTAGGACGTCAGTGGACATACCAAACTTGTACTGAATTCGGCTTCTTCCAATCGTCTTCTTACCGTCCTCAAATATTTGGTGATCAATTTCCAGTGGATTTTTTTATCCAGCAATGCGTTGATATTTTCGGTCCCGAATACAAATCTTCATTTTTAAATTACGCCGTTAATAGAACCAATATGCTGTACGGAGCTTTGGACATTGACGTGACCAATGTTGTCTTCGTTCATGGGTCAATTGACCCATGGCATGCTCTGGGAATCACCGAGACCAAGAAGAAAGCTGCCCCTGCTATTTATATTAAAGGTAGGACGTATTTCTTTTAGTAGGACCCACGACAAGTCAAAAGAGTACATCAAAAACTTTATCAATCTTTGTTAACTACATTATTTGTTCAAAAGTTTCATACAAAAAAAAATACATTTTCGCTGATAGTGAAACGTATTTTTGTATTTAATATAACCAAAGTCGGCATCTATTAAAATAAATTAATCAGTAAAAGTTCAAAAATATACTCTTTCTACGAGTTTGTTAAATTATGTATTAGATTTATTTTTTTCATGAAAAATCTTTAAGTTTCTTTAGTATTTTTCCTTGAACATCTTCAAAGTAGATATAAAGTCCTAAATACGGTTCACAAATCATTCGTTTAATCGATGTTTAATCGATCATAGATTGATTTTGTTCATATTTTAAACATAATCCATTAATCGATGGATTAAGTTTGTGGTCAACTACGTCCACAAAATGTCTTATCTTCAAATGATGAACAGTGTTGTCCACTGGGTCTAAATGATCGATTAGTTCAGTTAATTGATTCTTTCGATTAACTAAAATGATCGATTATTTTAGTACAATCGATTACTTAATATTATAATCGTATATATTTGATTTAATAAATTTGTAGGCACTGCCCATTGTGCAAATATGTACCCACCATCTAAAAATGACTTACCTCAATTAGCTGCAGCAAGAAGGCAAATTTACCATTACATTGAGTCCTTCATTTATAGCAATAATTAAAAAAATCTTTTATAATAATAAAAATGTATCATCTGTGTAGTAAAATAGAATTGTAATTTTAGTCAATCTTATGTTATTTTAACTGAAATATACACGTACCTACCAAATATCTAAATGTTTTTTTTTTCTTATTTATAAAAATATTTTGTGGTACTTAC